TTCAGTTGACCTTTCCTATAGAAATGATGTCGTTGTACTAGTAAACTGGTAGTACTACATTCGCCTATAGTAACTAACTGTATTACAAAACACTGAAACATTCTGAACAAGTTTTGCATGTACCATTGTTAGACAGATTGGTGTTCATTAGATGACATTCCCTATACGAAATCGTTTACTTAAACCGTATATTTGATAAAGCTTACAAAGCGTTTACAAATATGTAGGCGCTAATCACATAATGACTATTAATCTTAAATGAATTTTGATGGTTTGACCACTTGACCTTCGCTATGGAAATAAGGAATCGAAACAAAAGAATTTAAATCAAATTGTGGGTGGCCCTGAAAAGGGCCTTTACTCGTTCTCTTAACAGTTCCGAGTTTCATGAACCAAAGACTTGCTATGACTCCGTTATAGCGCCGTAAATGGGACAATAGATTCCATGGACGTGTGTTGATGGGTCGTAGGCACAAAATAAATGAAACATTGCATCACATCGACAAAAACTCCAGGTACTTCCATCAGCAGTTTCATGTGGCGGTTGCACAAGATTGCAAATATCACAAAGTCTGTTGTCACACGCGTTTTCGTCATTGTCGTCATCTAGTTCAGTAAACTCCTCTGAGTTAATCGAAACAATTTCTTCCTCGTCATTGCTTAACGGTACATCCATATTGACGTTATTTTGATAGTCGGTTACTTACAAAATATGAAGGAAGGACATTGAGTGTTCACGGTAGTCCTTTATGAAAAATTATAATAGCACTCATCAAATTACCTCGTTCGTCTACTCGGCTGTGAGGAACCGCTAGATGTTCTACGGCCATTTCTCCAACATACGAATTTAATATAGGACTTCCGAACTCTATGTAAATGAGAATCTCTCACCACATAATGACTGTACGTGGCTCTTTCATACGTTCTAATGGCGCTCTTCAACTCTTTAAGAGATTGGAACGCTACGAGATACAATGTGCTCAAGAACGAACAGGTTATAAGTTTCTGTGACAACGTGAGGAACGACAGAGCTCGTACTTTGCATGTTACTACCGTCCATAATTGTAAGAAAATATGCTCTGTCGTCAAGTCCTCATATTTTATATCGATCTTAAGAAATAAACGACCAATTATAACGAACTCAAAACTAGTTATTTGATTGGACGAAACAGAATGAAAATTATTGGAAGATGGCGATGAAAAATTTTTTCATAAGGGATGAAGAAAAATTTCACTCAAAAAAATACAAAATTGGCCGTGCAGTAAATGTTTACCGGGCTGTCCGAAAGCTAGAATAAGGTATATGGGCTTAACATAATGACCGACACTATTCAAATAATTCTTCTAAACCAACTCACTTGATAGTAATAAAGTGTAACTGGTAAAATCGTTGCAATACCTTTTCGTCGATAAAGATCTCTTAGGTATCTGAATTACGTGGAACGTAAACACAAACCCAAACACCTTAATGACCTTTAAAGGACCTAAAAAGCATCGTAAAGTTGTATTATAATCTAGGCAACTATGAATAATATCCAATGGTTTATCGATAGCTACAGTGATAAATAAAAACATGGAAACGTACCACCATTTTATTGTCTTCCATATGAATAGGACTGATATTTTGCTTGTATTGATTAAAGTTTTTGATTTTATGATAAATCGACTTGCAACGTGTTTTGGGTATCTTAGCTTGGTAAGTTAGGATGCGATTGGATCCATAATGCTGGTCTTATTTTTATCATTAGTAAGACTTAGCTTTTTACAGCTTTGAGCTTATTAAGTAAAGCTCGTAGTTACTTTTATTTAATAAACTCATAAAGGCCATTTTGTATATGTCTTACAACGTTTTTTCAAAGTCTGGTTAGTTTAAAACGAAGATTATGTTCCCATTATCTGCTCTCGAAATGGCTATTGTCTTATCATTTCTTAGCTGTTTTAACGGAGATAATTCATGTTTATTGGAATTAAAAATGTGTGAATTGGTAACGAACAGATTTGTTTAATGATTAAACACTAGTGATTTTAAGGGGTAACGGACGTTTTTCTAACTTGAATAAATTGTAAACTGATTCCTTCATTGATGTAGTTTTTGTATCGGCTCTCAATCGTGACAAAACCTGAAAAAATTTGTCAGTAATTCAGTGAAATCCCTCCCAAAAAACAACAATTATTTTATATTTTTGACAATTAGATTTACAGCTATAGTATAAACCTTTTGCAGTTTTCTGAGCTCGCTGGTCTATTTGAGAAGTTTTCGTTGTTGTTCCGAATGAAATCGTCACTGCCTACTTTATGTAGAAGTCCATTTTTGAGCAAACCGAATTACGGAAAGATTGATTACAATCTCATCAGTGAATATTTGGGTTAATTACAAGGACTATTACTTTTCCTTAACCAAGTATTTCCGCTCAATATCATAGAGTCATGAAATCATTTCAAAGACTCCATTCTGGACTACACATTAGCACAGCCGGATAAGTATCTTAATAAGTAGATGAGTGTGATCCTTTCAGAAACATAGGACACTGGAATATTATACATTCCTCGCTGATAAGAATTAAAAATATTCTATTCTTTAATCCTAAATAACTATACTAAGATGAGATACATAACCTAATGACTAGATTTCATACACATTCGATAAAATTTTTGACCCTAGATTAGACCGATTACCCTGCATTAGTTGATTAAAGTATTCATTTGTACGTTTTGAATTCGTGTATGATTACTTTAAAGTCAAACATTTAAGAAACTACTGAAAGGAAATGGAAGCTATTAATTTAAACTTCAGAACATAATAATGGCATTATTAGTAAACAATTATTTACTCATAACAAGTTGACTAATATTTTATTTTTCTTCATATGTATAAATAACAACACAAGGAAATACTGGCGATTTAAATAATGATTGGTTTTGACAACAACTATCGATTATTTAATTTACAATGCTTCTATTAAATACTTACAAATAAATACATAAATAGACAGATTATTCGCATTTAGAACTTATCTTTCTTGATGAGCTCCCGAAGATTTGCATATTTTGGGTTTAATCCTCTATGGAAGAGTACATTGCTCAAGTAGTAACTCCAATGCTTTCCGGTTTTTTAATAAATGTTATCTGAAGATCAATACTATTGTCAAATCAACCCCTATTTTCGCTTAGTTTGAAAACATTCACCCGTATTTTAATTGTTATATATTCTGCATACGGAAACTTACTTTCATAAATTTGTTTAACTACTATTTCTTAGGAATTCAATAAACTGTTCAAAGATTTTGTGTTTATGAAGCAATAAAAAAAGCTACTTTTAATAAAATCAAGTTTTACAGTGAAGATTTTGAAGACTGAAAAAATGACGAAACACCTGAATGGATATCTACCTCGTTTGTTGACGACAATATCAAATATGTGTTGTAGTTCGCGTATAATGTTCACTAATTAGTTGTCTAGGCAGTGGCTGATGAAACTAACTTAAGAAAATCAATTTACACGACTTCATAAAGTTATTTAGGGTTAAATGATGAGTCAGCCGAACAACCTCACTCACAAAGACTTTCACTACTGTTTTGAACAAGATAAATGATATGACGAATACAGCATCACAAATTAAGAGAATTTCAAGTGGAGTATGAATAATCCACCTTAGATATTGTAAAATAAAATACTTTTCGATCCTAGTCTGTGTTCATTGAATAGACTACCGATGATTTCCACTTATCAATGAAAAGCAAACAAAATATTTAACTTTGTTGTATATACTATCTAGATACTGGCCATACTTACAGACACGCTTCATTGGCCAGAGTAAAGCTTCGGATAATTATCTAACTATTTGTGTTTGTAGAAGCAAGGCTAAATAGTAATAATTTTTTAGCTGTCAGGAAATTAACTCAAAATATGAGAATGGAGAACAGAATTTTAGCAAATGATCTTCAATAGCCATGAAATCTAAATACAATAATAATTATTATGCTAGAAATAGAAAACTTTGAAGAGAAATATGTATCACGGAATAAAGTGAACGATCAAATGAGTTTGGACCTTAATTCAACCTATTCCCTGGGGTCAATCAATATAAAAGCTAGAAATATAATTACCTTTTATTTCCCTTCAATTTTTCTATAATTTCATTGATTCACAATTTTGTTTTGTAATGGTAAAAGATTTACTTTATTAATGTACTTTCTAAATAAAAAATCATTTACTAAATAGATTACATTAATTCTTTTATTCATTTAATTAAAGTTGAATTTTCATTCTTATTTGAACTAAATAAACAACTAATTTCTCTATAGCTACAAGACGAACTTATTTATATCAGTAAGATTAAATTCCCACTTAGTGTAAGTGACAATTTGTTAGCACGAATTTCGACAGTCATATTCTTCAGGTTAAATAAATACATTACAATATACATCAAATAAAATTGTCTATCACTGCTAGATATAATCTTATCCTTTTACAGATGTAAAATATGTCAAGTCAGAAATCCTGTACATTTTAATTTTGAGGCAAAAGATGTTTCCTATGCCTTGACCCTTAATATACAATAAAATGATATTGATTAGTGACGTGAAATACAAGTGAAATTAAAATTCAAGTTTTTAAACCAAACTCTACATACAAATTGAATTAAAGTAGCAACACACATTTCACGACACGACAACAGAGGGGGGGGGTTAATCAATATGAGAAAGGGAGTAAATTTGACAACATTAACAATACCACAGAACTTGTAGTAAACAAGGAGGAAAACAAAGGTAAAAATAAAACTCATCAAGGACTAATAAAAAAGAACTGCGTTATGTTTAAATTTGAGTCACATCGATTTTCATGTCAGATGAATCCGAATAAAAACACCGATAGTATTTCAGTCCATCATAGTGTTTAGGATTCAATTTTTCGTCAAAATTTACTTAACTAACTTTTCAGTTATTTTTATTCATTTCTATTTGTTTTAATGTTTTCTGTATCACTCTTGATGAGTTCAGTTAAAACAAGTTGAAGAGTATATGGCTTATAAAAAATATCCTCGAGCGTTAAGAAGACGTATTGCTGGTTATTATGAACATAGATATAAAGGTAAAATGTTCAATGAAAAAGAAATTTTAGGTGAATTATCAGAGTGCCTAAGAGAAGTAAGTACTTATAATTTGTAGTGTGAACTTTCGTATATTTCCTTTGTTTAACAGTATTTAGTTTCAATAAAAATTCTTCAAATCTAATGAATAAATTTGTAATAAGCACTAGTTTAGTATCTTTTGATATCCTTCATGTAGCTTAAGATAAAGCTAAGATTCAATTGTAAATAATATAGTGAATATGTCAGATTTTTCTTGATAAACTGTCTACCCGAATACATGAAATGAAGTTCAGAAAATATTTTCTATAAATCTATCGCCCATAAACAGAACTTGTGATTGGTTAAATAACACTAGACAACAGTAACTGCTTAAGTGGCTGTTGTATTTTTTGCGGTTAAATCAGCTTTCAAAAATTGTTATCGCCCATTAAATAACATAGATATTCAGATTAATTACACACAATGTAGAGATAAATTTTTTAATCATAAATTTTTTGTACGTCAGATTTAATTCTAACATTTTTAGAATATAATGACAGCTTTTTCTTCACTAGACGGTTACGGATTTCTCTAGTACATTAGTTACACTTAAAATATTTCATCAGTATCTCATGAGCCATAAGCCAGTGGACGTGGTGAAGTATATATTTATCTTCAATAATTCCATGAGATTGCTAGCCAACTTCATGAAGATGGAACATATTGTTCGGTGGGAAAAAATACAGAGTAAACACTGTTCATGGGAGCACTTAAATAGGAAATAAAACGTTAGTTTCTAACAAAATATCTGTTATTATATTTGCTATCTGCAGAACAGCCACTTCAAGAATTGTGCCAGACTACGTGAGTTTGTACATTAGGAGTATGCTGGTAAAAACCTAATAATTTGTAACACAATACTGTGATAAGAGTAAACTATGAATAAACCCCGAAATCAAATTCCTCAACTAAATATTCTAAAGTAGAATTATCGTCATTAGAAAAAAATATCCATCTTTATAAAATTAACAGTTTGATAGCATTACGTATTGGCTTCAACCGATATGACATATTGATGTTAATTTAGCTTTACTTATAGAATTTGGATGGGAACTTGTGTCTCGGGACATGAAGAAGCTAACCCTTGTGTCTTATATATTAATTTAAGATAAGCCGTTTCTTTAATTGCTAATAGTTTAACCAATATTATTACTTTTTCAACTGACCTTTTTTCATTTTTTTAATTTCTATTGTTCAAATCATATATATACATAGTGTTTTCTCGTGTTCACATACAATTTAATATTTATTTAGCAAATTATAAATTACAACTGTCGTGCCTTAGTAGCATCTGTTCCAATATTTGCTAATGCCGACCAAAATTTCGTGTCAGAGGTTATTGTTAAGTTAAAACAGGAAGTATTTCAACCCGGTGATTTAATTATTAAAGAAGGAACGTACGGCACAAAAATGTATTTCATACAAGAAGGTGTTGTTAATATCATTACTAAAGATGGTATACTAGCTACAAGGTTGTCGGATGGGTGTTATTTCGGAGGTAAACAATATTTCTTGTATGGTTTTTATTTGTTTATATTCATTGGAGAATTTGTGAATGAAGGTCTTTTAGGTGATATCAGGCATTTGAATTCAGAAAGCTCGTTTTATTCCTAAATTTGTCAGCTGGAATGAGTGGTAATACTACCTCTGAAGCTTGATCGCAGTATCAGTTTCTTCGAATATCATAATGTTACTGACTCATAATACAGAATTTGCAGTTATCTATTTTTGATGTGCATAAGGAGTCTTTAAATTAAGAGGTAGCTAACAAAATTTAGGAAGATTTATTGAACGGATATTCCACCTTCTACGTTTAAAGTGAAGAAAATTTAGATTAAGAGTAGTAGTAGAATCTGGGAAACTCAATTTGTCCTTTTTGGGATTCGGCAGACGGATAAACCCACATCTCGGTATCGATTTTAACACTAGGACTCAAACGCAGTAACTTCAAATTCCAATGCATCAGCCAATGATCTGCTGAGTTTAGGTAGCCGCTAACTTATTCCGTGGCTACGAATCTATATGTCAGTATTCCGAGCTCTGGACAAAAGTGTATTTATCGCGTATTTTACATAAATAAAGAAAAAATCTACTCACTTTTCATCTCCGAGCAACGCTTACAGCTAGTTATCTAGATTCCGATTTGCTCATTCCAAAACTATATAGTTATCAAATAAAGTTCCGCGGGATTGTAATTATACGTTATGTTCACAAAGACAATAATGGAAAACGTGAAGTCACTGAAGGGTTGATTCACTCTGGTGGGCGACTGCCCAGTAGTGTGCACCTACAGCCCCACTATTGATACTAACAAAGAATTTTGGGCTTTGTATTCATGGTTTTATTTTGAAACCACTGGTCTATATTTTATTTATTAATCGTTCAGAAACCCACCATCCCTATGTTTTGCATATTTTATTTTAAATGTAGAAATATGCTTATTAACAAATGCACGACGTGTAGCTAGTGTTGAGGCTGAGACTTATTGTACACTTTACTCACTGGACCAAAAAAACTTCTACGATGTTTTAGAAAATTATCCGGAAATGAGAGTAACATTGGAAAAGGTAGCTGCAGAACGCCTACAATCTCTTGGTCGTAGAGCATCAATTATACAGGCCTCAAACAATAAAAGTGATTGGTCAGATTATGCTCTAAAAATGGCTGACGAGGTAAAATTACGTACGTTAGTACTCATTCTGTTAAAATGTAATTATTAGTATATTAAATATTCCCGTTAAGACATTAAAAACACAAACTGAACGGAAAGATGTTTCTTTCCAATTAGAAAAAATTAAGGACAATTCAGAGAAGAAACTTTTTTGTTGAACAACATTACTTACTCAGGCTGTACAATCGCATTTAAAGTCAAATAACAAATAAAATGGTCTATTAAAGAGTGGAAGGGAGATTATGTCCATTAGTGATCGAGAATTTGAAGAAAGATGTCTGAAAGATAACCAGTATGAGAAGGATGAAGAATAAATAAAAAAATACTTGGTGATAATAACAAATAATTATAATTAAAGGGATTAAAATTTATGTAAGGCCACTCTGAAAATCAAATTACGGTTGACGAAAATTACGTGTGAAGGCCATGGAAGAATGATGGCTTGCACTTCTTTCTTGCGCACAGAGTTCAGTTTTGAAAAGATGGATTGCTAGTCCCTCTGAGGTCCATAAGTTATTGATTTTTACTCCTCTCGAACCAAATCGTACACTTATATATAGGTTATACAATTAAGAATAAAATCGGTGGTTGATCAGTTTAACAAGGTATCTCAGAATTTACCCAAAAAGCGTATGACATCGACACTTGGGGATGCAAACTCAAATCTAAATGTTGTATTATCAGTTAATTAAGTCGATATTAAATTGACCAATGGAATATAATGTTTAGTGTTATTTGCACAATTAATTATAATGTTTGTGACTTAAAGTAACATCGAGGCAATTCTCATAGGATTAACATGTGCCAATAAGAGACTGATCGATCGAAGTTCTAAACTTCAATAGAGAGATTCAGACAATCAATACAAAGATGAATTATAGATTGGGTTTATTGATATAAATACCTACTGCTTCTACTGTCAGTACAAAGCGGACTTTCGAAATAGGGAATTCTAGTAATAACTTTAAAAGTTCAGTTTATATCGTGGCGGCTTATATTCATTAAATGTGACAAAACAGAGCTCCTTATTCTTCTTGTTCTTTGGTCAATCAAGGATGGTGCTACTTAGAAATACGATGTTGTAGCTGCTTGGTTGTGGATACAATATAAACAACTCCACATGAGCAGTTGAACTGGTGAATAGAGACGGTGGACCTAGGCAAGATATCTTTATTCCGTGAACTCACTATTGATTGACTGAGGAAAAAAGACCGCAATTTAGTTGCGGTTAGTGTTCATTCTATAGTTTTTCTTATAAGTCGTATCACTATGCCTCCATGATCTATTGAGTAAAAACGGATAACAATCAAAGTTTGTAAAGAAAAACATCATTATGGTATGATTTAAAGCAAAAACGCCGACAGTACCAAAGAAATATTTACTCCTAAAACTACGGTTCGGAGGTATTGGGAAAATCATTTAATTCAGCTGGACGATATTAACTTGATCAATCACCACTTTTTGGTGTTGGTTTAGTTCTTAATTGTATCATCCAAATATTGGTGTAGAGTCTTGTAAGGAATTAGTTGAAAAGAGATATTAGTTTGCCCATCTTGGTTTTAATGTAGTTATTAGCCACTTCACAACTGATGGGATCAAATAAGAATTTTTTTTAAATCTCTTTACTTTTATCTGGTATATTCTTAAAGCAATAATCATTAGAGCAAAAATCTATAATAAAGTTGAGTTAAAAGTGATGGGCTGTTGATTTCAGTCACTGTGAGATCAAATCCACATTCCCTTTGATTTATAAATCTTATTCTGAATTCCACTGTCATTCTGCTACAAAAAACATCATCAAAGGTAAGATTTTTTTCTTGAATACGGAGAAAAAGATGAACAATAAAATTTACTTAAGAAATTTGAGCATAGAACACTAGTGATTAATTACAACTGTTTAAGACCTAATAAACTGTACTATGGTATCTAAACTACACTTAATTTCTTAGTAATTTAAACCCCTATTAATAATCACCAATCGGGATATAGAAATTAATATTGTTTCGTAAACTTGGCTATGGATTTCAGGTTATAATGAAATACATATAACAATTTTTTATTTTGACCTTAGATAATCTGCAAATTAAACTAATATATTAAATACCTCAACTCAGACATCTAAAGTTAAAACCACTTTGTAAGCTCTTCTATTCTCAGAAAGGTATCAGTACTTACGTAGTACATGGAGTTTAACTTATTACGTGGTTTACACAAATCTCAACAAGACAAATAAAAGAATACAAATGGCTATATGTCAAATAAAGATGGAAAAACAAAATTTCCATAATAAGCTGAATGCATCATTTTAGGTAGTGCCTTGACTTTGTTTATCAGTCATCCTGAAAACCGTTATTAAGTAAATTCCAACGTTGTATGGATTCAGAAGGCTACAAGAAGCAGCGACTACAGTTGGATTGCACAGATAACCAAGTTACAAGCACACTTAGCGAATCGGAGCAGTGAGGATAATGTGTGAGCAAACGAATACAGAAGCAAATTTATAGTCAAATCGAACCAAGGTTCATCTAGGCAAGGCAAAGGCCGATATTAGAATTCGAATACATATATACATGGGAAAGAGAATGAATCATCGAGCGATATTTAGGCAACTAACATTCAAGCTAGAGACATGTGTGTAGGCTGTCACATGTAATTAAGCGTACACGTTTATACAGACAAGATATTGATCATGATAATACAAAGAAATAGACGAACTGTTACTATCCGAATAACATTGTCTGTTAAATAAGTTAATAGAGGCGTTTGACAAAAATCAATCGTAATCGAAATTAACCAGTGTTGCTATACTTATTTCAGGGCTGCAAACAGCTTAAAGCTAAGAAAGGTAGTACAATTAAAAATAAAAGTTTGGTATACTTTATTTAGTGAAGTCAGTGTAAATTCTTGAAACACGAAGGAATATCACAGGAGAAAGAAAGCTAGTTAAGTATGATGCATGTTTACATACTGAAAATTCGTCCACATAAAGTGGCGTTGACAAAAATGAGCAATTACATAATCATAACCAAAACAAAACTAGGTAGATGTACACAAAAAGATGGTGTAATAGGTTAAATTAACTTATTACTATTAATATTGGTAACGAAATGAGAGATTAACCACATGGTTCTTCTTTTTCACACAACAGTCAGGTTGTAAGCTGTTAATGTCTATGGTTCTACAAAGTAGTGGTATTAATCTATAAGTGATTATTTTCGAGATAATTCATAAAGCTTCGTATGTCAATCATCCTCATGACTGTTATTAAATAAATCCCAACGGTGAATAAATTTCAAAGAACAGTACGAAGCACCAACTGCAGTTTATTGCTATACAGTACATATTACTAAGCTAACAAGCACATAAAGGGAATTCGAGCGAAAATGAGCAAACCAGCAAGAGAACACGGGGACGAATTAACAGTCAAATAGAGTTGAGTGAATTAATAAGATGCAAGCACATACATATAGGAAAACGAATGACTCATCGAGCGATTTAGGCAACTAATACTTAACGTAGTAAGAGGGAAGTGTGTAGGCTGTAATACATGATCAAGCATACAGACATGACGATAATAATAATACAAAGATTTACAAATGGCTACTGTTTAGATGACTATCTGGTAAATAAATTAATTGAAGTGTATGACAAAAACGTAAACAGACTTAAGTGTAGATCAGGCGCCGTGGGTCTGAATACTCATTACATAACAAAATAATTTATATAACCAATTAGAAAAACAACTTAGTGTGAAAGTAACTTTAAAAACGGATTACTTGACTGAAATAGTGTGTAACTGATACTTGTTAGCGACAAAGAATATGAATACCTTCAATCTCCTTACAAATGTAAATCAGTCTGATTGTAGTCATAGCAACCAAAACACAAAACAAGCTCACTTTCCTGTTTATTTTCCACTAATATGTTTAATATTTATTTGGTTAGTTATCATGCTGGTCTAATATGTGACAAAACAATTAAAAACAGAAAAAGACTTGATCTTCGCGCAACCGTAAAAGGATGATAACTAGTCCTTTGATATGAATAATGCTATTTGGCATACAAATGCCGTCCGAAATTATTTACTTGATGATTACCAAGTAGAACATTATTCGTAAAATATAGCTTGATCCGAAGGGGGGTTCATGTTTACATGTGATATAAAGCAAGTCACTTATTAATTTTTTTTCTGTCTAACAGCATTATTACTATGAAAGTACAAAACATAAAGGTGCAACAGTATAGGAGACTTATGGAGATCGTTCATTTAGTAGTTAACCCCATCGATTGATTTTAGCTAGAAAACTACTAAAAACCAGGGTAAACTGAAAAGCTGTTTTGTTTTAGTATGGAACCTTTTTTACAAACTTACTGGATTTAAGTGTGAACCAAAATGTCGAGACTCAATGTTTTAAGTTTAACATTCTCACTGTGGTGACTTAAGGTATCAGCTTTGCCTTCTGGAGAAGTCGTGTATGTGTACTGCTGAATAGTCACATACTAAGACGGAAAATCTGCACAGTCCTTTCGGGTTTTCGATGACTTTCTAGATAAAGATTTAATATATGAAGTAACCTCAATGGATACTAAATTTTTTGATAAAAATTTTAAATACAAAATAACTAAGGGGAAAGGAATTGATCTGTAACTAACATATAAAAAGTAATAGGTAAAATATAAGATTACATAGCTACATTCTATTTGCGTGAATTAATAATAGCAAATAATAGCAAAACTCACTTAAGTACTTGTAATATCAGTCAGATGTCTCAATTTTTCTTATTATTCAATTTAGGTACACCGGAATGACATATACTAGACACCTTTGCTACAGTAATAATAATACACCTATGTATATCAGTTTTCATCAACCATAAAATTTATTTTGTAGTAAGACTATCACCGTATCTGAATGATCAAGTGTTAAAATCACTTTACATAAATGAAAACAACATGATGTTTTACTACTTAATACACTATCGGTTGCTGAAATTATAATAATAGCTTTTCCCATTAAAACAAAGTAATTTTGTTTCTCTGTCTAATTAAAAGTTACTAGAAATGTGCCAATTATTAGATCACGAGAATCGACCGAAAATAAAACTAGAAAGGAGTGTTTATAAATTTTATGAGTGATATTTATGAATTTTCAAAAATATTAGAATTTTGAAGGTCAAATTCACAAAAGTTGAATTAAGAATGGATCTAGATCCCAACAGATTCTAGATGCTACTGGAGCGTTTAAATCAATCATTATTCATTCCCATAACAAAATATGGAGAACCTGAACGAAGTTTATTTTTTTAAAAGAGCATCAAGAATTTCGCATTTTTATAAAAGATTATCAGCCATAACTAAATAGCTTTTAGAAACTGAAATTCGCCTCGCCGAATACTTTGATCATTTTAGTGAATCAATTGCAGATACCACAGAAAACCATCTAATATATTATTTTTTGATGGCTCGATTTTCTGTCATGCTATCCATGTGGTATCATCCAGTAAATTGTCGTTTAACTTATCAAGCACAGTGCTCGAGAAAAATTTGTTTAGCCTTCATTTTTCTCTCTCTTGAAAACTCTCTTGAAATGACTGAATTTCTAGAGAGTGGTAGAAAAATTCAGGGTACTTCTTTTGCCTTAACTGGTACTTGTATTTCGGCATTGATAGTCACACTGAAACTCGAACCCGGTAACTACCACTGGTAGTATGAATCCAAAAGGAAGTTCATACGACAAATAGGACTTTTATATATTGAAGCTTTTTACTTGGGTGATTTTCCATCATTTTACTTTCTAAGTCAGATTTCTTTTGTCCAAATAAAAATAAGCCATCTGATTTCCATGTCTGTTAATACGTTAACAATAATTCACTAGATATCAAGACGTATTACTTAATGCATGTAACAGAACTCGAACACTAGGTCTACTAATAATAAAACAGAACTTGTCAAGCGATAATTAATAACGGTCGAGAATTTCTCTTATACTTTTTTCATTATCCCAAGTTATGAACTAATGTGATTTTTTTGAAAGATTGACTTCAGATAAACAGTAACAAAGAATAAGACTTTTGATGAAACGAAAAATTCCATTGCGTAAAGGTAGAAATCATTCTTTAATTTGCTATATAAGATCAAAATTTAACTTAAATAAATCAGTTTATCCACTCCTTTTTTAATGGCATTTTGCTTGCAGGTTATAAAACACCAAGTAAGTTTGCACATTTTTTTACCAGTGAATGCTTTTTAATCAGGATAATGAAGAAGACACATAAGAGAACGTTTTACTGCTGTTAATGAATTGTTTTGTTTACCTCGATGTTGTGATAACATCTCAACTATACTGACGTTATCAAGTTAGAAATTAGAACTAAAATGTATAGGTTCAAGTTGTCACAATTGGCATCGAAAGGGCATGGGAACAAGTGAAAATAAGAACACTAACGGTAATAGAAACAAACTAAAAGCATGGGGAAAAAAGGCCACAAGAAATAAAACACGGGATTACATCGCGTTCAGGAATAGAATGAGAACTATAAATGCATCTGAGTATTCAAGACAGATTTCGATTTACATTGCCTAAATCTTCAACACATAAATTACAAATACTTTACACGTGTAAACCAAACATCGACAAGGCATAAGTAAATTGTTAGTAACGGCATAACTTTGTCTGACCTTCCTCAAGCTCTTCCCCACCCACCCGCCTCTTAACTAGAATAACATGTTAAGTTGTACAGAGAAGACCACTGTACAATATATGTAGAAGGAAGTCTCATTTGTGACAAAAATGGGGTAAGGTACAAACTTAAACAGGTATTCCTTTTCGTACCAGTACTTAGTCAGCTACCAACTCGTCATACACAATATTTAATTAGTTTACTACGTATATAGTTAAATGCTCCATATTGAACCATACTGTTGGTTAGGAATTTCATCACCAGTGTAATTGATAAATCTTCTAATTGAACGTTAGGTTAAGTTTGCTATGCATTTCTAGTAACTCCCAGGATAAATCTACACAGAAACACGAGAGAAAAGGCACGAAATATGGAAGAACCGCTTTACTTTAAGGTTCGTTTATGTGAAGAAAATCTAGGGTATTTATAACATTTTGGGCGGCCTTGGGTTTCCAGAAAGTTTTGGAACGCTACTAAACGTCGTAACGGTATGGGTAGTCATCCAATCAGAAACGCGACAAGTGACTTTTCACTTCCGAAATGTTTCTGCAAGAACTATTAAGTGGTGATAAGGTAGGATGTTTCTCAGAGTTTTCAGAGCCTTTTTAAGGTTTTTTCTAGGAATTTTCTGGATCTCCCCGACATTAATAATGCTAACCGGTTGATAGCTTACCAATTACTGGTACCAGTAAGGACATCCGTTGAAATTTTCGGTGAACATTATGAAACTGGTGACTGTAATTTTTGAGCTGTACTGGTAAAAATTTAAGGGAATGTTTATAAATTCTTTGAAATAAATAATTTCTTGGCCTGTATTTAAGTGTACGCTTTTATTGCCTGTATTAATTTTTTAATTATCTGTAAATAATGCACTATTATAATCTGATTAATTGAAATTTATGTTGCATCAAGTTTTGATTGGATGTCGAAAATAACAATTATATATTTGAATTTTATTTTAATAATGTTCGCTCAGATGGAACAATAATATCCAAGCACCCATTAATAAAGTAAATGAGCTTGCATAATACTTACTTACGCCTGTCACTCCTAATGGAGCAAAGGCCGCCGACCAGCATTCTCCAACCCACTCTGTCCTGGGCCTTCCTTTCTAGTTCCATCCAATTCTTGTTCATTTTTCTCATGTCTATTTCCATTTCTCGGCATAATGTGTTCTTTGGTCTTCCTCTTTTCCTTTGGCCTTGAGGATTCCATGTGAGGGCTTGTCTTGTGACGCAGTTGGGTACTTTCCTCAATGTGTGTCCTATCCACTTCCAGCGCTTCTTCCTGATTTCATCCTCCGCTGGGATCTGGTCTGTTCTCTCACACAGTACGTTGTTGCTAATAGTATCCGGCCAATGGATCCGAAGTATTTTGCGTAGACAATTGTTAATAAGCACCTGTATTTTCTGGATGATGGCTTTTGTAGTTCTCCAGGTTTCTGCCCCATACAGTAGAACTGTCTTGACATTTGTATCGAAAATCCTGACCTTGGTGTTGGTTGACAGTTGCTTTGAGCTCCAGATGTTCCTCAGTTGTAAATATGCTGCTCTTGCTTTGCCGATCCGCGTCTTCACATCTGCATCAGATCCACCCTGTTCATCAATGATGCTGCCCAAATATGTAAAGGTTTTTACATCTTCCAAATCTTCTCCGTCAATTGTGATTGGATTAGTGCATTCTATGTTGTATCGGACAATCTTGCTTTTCCCTTTGCGGTTTGGTTTGCGGCGGTTTCCAGAGAGTTTCTTTGTTATGTCATACAGTTGTCTCATGTTCCCTTCTCTTGCAGCCTTTTCCGCCGTCGTTGCTAAATCTTCCACATATTTACGTTTGTCAGTTCTAATGCTTCTTTTCACTTGTTTGTTTACTTCTGCGTATTCATCTTGTGCCTTGGCTTTTTCTACTCTTGTTCGGCTGGTATTGATTGCTGCTTTCTTGTTCCTCCTTTCTTGAATCTCATCCAGTCTATCAACAGTGATCTATTCCTTGTGATGGTGCTTCTTGTGACCCAGAACCTCATGGCATGCTGAAGTGATTGCTTCTTTGATCCCCTTCCAGTTGCGCTCCATAGTAGTTCCTTCTCTGTTGAATAGATCATGAAAGGCCTAGAACTTGTTGCTGAGGACTATCTTGGATTTGTTGAGTTTGTCAGTATCCCGGAGAAAGGCCGTATTCAACTTTTGTGACATTGTCCGCCCCGTTGTCCAGTACTTCTTGAGTTTCAATTTCATCTTGGCGACTAGCAAGTGATGATCTGATGCTATATCAGCTCCTCTCTTGGTTCTCACGTCTTCCATCGTCTTCCTGAACGTTTTGTTGATGCGGATATTGTCGGTTTGGTTTTGTGTAGAGTGATCCGGTGAAGTCCATGTGACTTTGTGTATGCGCTTATGTGGAACTATAGTTCCGCCTATGACCAGTTTATTGAAGGCACACAGGTTTGCAAATCTCTCACCATTTACGTTCCTTTCTTCCAGTCCGTGTCGTCCCATTAAGTCTTCATATCCGGTGTTGTCCATTCCAACCTTGGCATTGAAATCTCCCATCAGAATGGTCAGGTCCTTTGTTGGGCACTTCTCGATGATTGACTGCAGCCTATTGTAGAATTGATCTTTAGCGTCTTCATCGTAGTCGTTGGTAGGCGCATAGCATTGGATGACGTTCATTGTAATGCCCTCTTTCTTTGTTTCGAAGGAGGCTTTGATGATCCTCGGTCCGTGAGATCCCCATCCTATAAGCGCATTTTGCGCTTGTTTGGATAGCATCAATGCAACTCCTTGTGTATATCGTGCATTTTCTTCTTCATGGCCGGAGTATAGCAGAAGCTCCCTGGAAGCTGGTCGTTGTTGTCCAACTTGTGTCCAATGTGTTTCACTGATCCCAAGTACCTCTAGGTTGTAACTCCTTATTTCTGCAGCAATTCGGAAGACTCTCCCGGTCTCCCACATTGTACGAGCATACCATGTTCCTAAATAAATGGTTGCTCTGGTTGTCAGAAGGGGCATCGGCCTCGTGACTTCCGAAGGAACTCAGCTTTCCTCATGAGACGTCATAGTTCTTCTAAATGAAGACCTTCTGACTGCCAGGGCAGAGTTTAAAAGATTTGAATATTTTTTTCTGGTTAGCGTTTTTTAGCGAATTAGTTTTCTACGGGATGGGGTCGCTAAAAGACTACACATATCATCTGAAAGGAGATATATTAAATATTTAACAATTCATACGTTAGATTGATAAGTTTACTGTTGACAGATACAGATTTTCAACTATAAATGTAATTAGTATACCTGACAACTAAAGAATTTTAAAATGCACAAGGTGAGAACTATTCTTCACTCAATAATTCTAGTGAATTTTTATGATATATCATTTAATTAATGAAATCAGCCTGGTAAAAATTGTAATAGGTTGTAAAAATATGATTAAATAGCCATGATAACTTATTTAAATGATATATTTAATTGATGCTAGACGTTTAATGAGTTTACTACACTGAGTAACAAATAAATTACACTTCCTTAAATGAATAAGAATTGTAGGAAAGTCAACCAGTAAAATTTACTTAAACGTTGCTTTTGCGAATAATTAGAGAAATTTGTATCATCTAAGAAAGTTATCAACAAAAATTCAAGTATTGAAATTCATATTATAACAGTCTGTAACTAAATAAAGAGATTTTGCATAATTTTAGTCAACAAAATTAAAATAGTATCCAAAGGTAAATTATCCATAAAAAACAATATATCGAAGGGAGTTTGCATGTAATGAATCGGATGTGAACTAAAAGTAGTTAGGAGTGTTCTACTAATAGTTAGTTCATAACTGAGGATAAAAATTTGAACGCGTAAGTAATAACTGGGTTTTTGAGAGAGAGAAATCCAAATTATTTGCTCTTAACTATGATATAATTATAATTATAAAAGGTTATTTGCATAAAGAATTAATATGTCAGTCAGTTGCTGTGTCTGGCAACACTAAAAATACAAGCTGTAAAATGTCTCCATATTCTTATATTTGTATTTGACTGGAAGAACGCCAAGTGTACTCAAATATTTCACCAAGTATTGCCAATAGTACAAGACCTTCCAACAGATCGAATCTAAGTCTAAATATTAAATACAGCTGCGGCAGGAATTCCGTAAATATGCCTGCACATATAAATCTGAAGATTGATAAATATTTGACCGAGACACTCACACCCATGTTTAGAATCCGTCTGGTTTCCTTTGATTTCCTGATTTTTAGGTGGAATTCAGTTACAGATGATCGCGAAAACCAATATTTAAAAGACCATACGACCCAAACCAACTTTTCTGCGGTTATCACAATGAAGCTTATGTCCTTCCTCACTAACTAGGATAGTCAGAGATCACTCAAACAAAATATCAGTACCTCAGTCAATTGAACTGGTGATCTCGGAAACCTAAAATCAAATTTGATGTTTCCATGTAAACTGACTTGATTCAAATGCTTTCTAACATTACTAGAAGTTGAAGACTTACTTCCTATCTCTTCCGTGCAGACTTTTGAAGAATGGTGAACGACATAAGTATTTCTGGAGGAGGATTGAACTTCTCCTTAAAGTAGGAAAAAAGCAAATCAGAAAAATTTTCCTCTTTGCTTTTATTGTTTTAGCAAACATAGTTAACTATAAATACGATTGTACAATATGTGTATAAAAAATATATTTGGACCAACAAGAACAGCTTGCTATCCATCAGCTCAAGCTTAACCTTTGCGTACAAAAACAGTATGTTACGTCTGTCATTCTTCCATGGTCTTAACCTTCCTTGCTACCTTCCGTAACCTACCACTTCTTTAGGCTATTATTTCTACTCCTTTTTCATTATTTCCACAACCATTAATTAGCAACTTTTAACTACTCTGTTCATAATAATTATCAAGCGAAAAATTATATCCAACTTACCACTTCACTAGCGGATTATCGCATGACTTCCTTTCAATATCTGATTTTCGTAGATAGTTCATGTCAGGATACCAATTCAAGCTTTTTTAATATTCGATTTTAGTAAATGGTGCTACTTTAGCATGTAAAACTGACTTGAATAGTTCAAGTAAGTGAAATCGTCGAAAAAATTTCCTTCACTGAATTGCTTTCTTTCTTCTGCACTGACACAATAGGCTTTTTTCGTTGTTTGCTTCTGAAAGTGTTTCATTTACTATTCAAGTCACCAAATCGGAAAGTGAACTACTGTTCCGTCCTTATTAGTTTTGACTTCACTGGCGGCTAAATTTTTAACCTCGAATTCAAATACTTATCTACTGTAAACTACTATCATCACTGCCTTTCCCATTTCATCTTATTACCGTTACTTCTAAGTGCTCATTGATCTAAAATCATCTGATGTGTGGATGTTTAGCCATTTCAAACAACGTGCTTACCAATCATCTAATTTTAAAGTTTGTTCTACTCAAGGAATACGTCAAAAATAGATACCTCAAGAAAGGTCAAATAGAGAACTGACAGTGGTTCGCTAGTCAGACTTTAGTAACGTAAGAGCTCGTAACTAGAATGTAACTCATGTCTAAGGCATTGGAAATTTAAACATGAAAAATATATTTCGAGAGGAACAAATGTAATTGGAGGACGGAAAATTAACAATGAAACCGAAATCAATAAAATGACTGAATACGACTGCTTCACTGTGAGCGACTTTGATCAATGCTACCAAATGCCTCCAGTGTAACTGTAAGCCATTTTATGTTTATTTATCCACTCAATCTAATTAAAATTGTGTAGTATACACAGTTATAATTCAGACAAAATCAATAAGTTTGTTCTGTTTAATCAAGATATTTAAATCTAATAATACTTTAATATTAATTTTAATTAATGCTTAGCATAATGCAAATTATTCCACAAAGGATACCTGCTGTGGAAAAGCCCAGATTAATAATGAATCAAATAAATCCATTATTCAAAAAAATAGATCTTTAGCATCCATGGATTTCAGCAATGCTTTTTTGGAAACTGGTCTGAAAACAAAAGTGTCAAATCCTGTTATTGTTCAGTCAACTGAATTGCTAAATATCCATCACCAAAATGATCATTTTGATAAAGAAATCAGATTGAAAATGCAACAACCTATTATTACTACAACACAAATACATTTGTCAAATGAATTTGAGAGCTCAGTAACAAATGGATAGTTATATATACACATATATACATACATTTATTCATATTACTTATAAGTTAAAAGAAACAACCGATTTCACCATTATTCACTATTGCTATCATAAAACTACTCCATCAGTATTCCTTCAATTTTCATTTTGTAATTATTCCCGAACTGCTTTTTTCATAAACGGATATATGAGCACTTAAAAATATGACTGATGAAACCCTGTTTAAAGACTATGATAAACTGTGTAACCTTATTTCATTGTTTTTGACTGTTTACAAACAAGTATAACTATTGTAGTAGAACCTACTTGGGGTGCATATCAACTTTGTAGATGATTATTCCAAAAATAGTTGCCGAAAGATTATTATTATTATTATTATTATTATTATTATTATTATTATTATTATTATTATTAGAATTGACAAAATCAATCAGGTTTTATGCCTTAATAGCTTGTGTATCATTAGATTGAATAATTTTTTAAAAATTACCATAATTTATAATGACTTTGCTCACCTTTTTTTCACAAGAAATCTTATTGTCCTTATTTATCGGATGAAATAAAGAACGTAGACCTCGAAATGTATAAATAAGATCAACCTATTAGCAAACAATACACTATCTGTTATTGATGGTTTATCTAGAGACAGATCTAAGATCCTTATGAGAACCTACTGACTGTAAGATAAATCGAGAAAGGGATGAAGATGTACTCTTTTTTACAATAATAAATTATGATCATGTTTTAGTGAAACTAAAGGCACTTGAAAACCCTCAAACGTTCATTTTCACCTCATCAGTGTAACAGCGACCTGCTTCCCACTAAAGCTGATAACTTTGTTTTAAATTTAACAGGCGATGTACAGTACTTGATAATTCTTAGTTAGGATGAATCACAGATTCACTACTCAATAATTTCTGATGATTCTTAAAATACATTGGATTTGATAATATCCCACGATATCGATTTTCAAGCATTTAGTAATTTCTCTCGAAGAAAAACGTGGAAGACAGTATCCTTTAGGCGGAAAAGTACATGTGACTGTCGACAGAGGTAGACGCACATAAAACATCGAAATCTGTCATCTAAATAAAAACGTTTCACGTCGAGGAGTACGTTTTTCGTGCCTCAAGGTAACCCTCGTGCTATTGACAGAAGAAACCTATGCTGTTACACGTTGATAAAAACCTGACTCTTGATCGATAGTGTTTTCTTCAGTTCGTAATGCCCATTTAAACTAACGAGGTTCATATTAATGTCGAATGTTTACGAACTACTTATTTTGGGGAGTTATTTGCCACCAACACTGTCTAAACATTGAAGTTAATTCATGGTATAAACTATCTCCAACCAAGTTGATTACCTACTTACAGTTCGAACAGAATAAGAATCAAAGTAAAAATCCAGTCATTCAGTTAGAGTCTGTTTAAATCTGTTATTTTAGATATGCTACAACAGTAAAGTGACTAAATTTTAAACTCTTTAATACGGATTTATGAATCTGATCATCTTTTGACAACTCAGAAGTATGGTTTTCCATCTATAGCTACTTGAGAAATGAGTATACATAAATCATGCAACATAAACGATTGATTTTTCAATAACTCCATTCTACAAGGTCAAAATACACTGCATCGGATTAAGGATTTATAAACTTTTTACCGTATATTCAATCTTTGATTCGGATAGCTAGCGAATAGTTGGTTTCTTGAATTTTCATTTTCATTGTCTGTTTAGCCAAATGTGACATTGTCTGTTTCATTAGTTAATACTGTCCGACAAGAAGTGAATTAGTAAGTAAGGGCTTGTTCAAAACGCAAATTCATCTCATGATTCATATCCGTAACTGACACCTCAAACAATGAATGGTAAATCATAATTCGTAATCATCTTGTTATCCATTATTTGGATTTTGAATACCAAAAAGGTAGTGTTTTTAATAGATAACCAGGAGTTTCGCGTATATCTCCAACAACTTTTAATCAAGAGTTTTGCATCGTAGCTGTCTTTTTTATGATTTAAAAAACATTTATTATATACAACGATTGCATCGAGAATATTTATGATAACCTGAAGGAGTCAAGTTGTTAACTGATATAGGTAAACGAATCCACTGCATATATTCTTTTAACAAATGAATTGTGATTCACGGGGCTCCATGCTATTTTGCTTTTCGTCCAACAAAGTTCCAGAAGTTATTTGGTAGATAACAAATTCGGGTTACTGTAACGTACTTTACGAGAAACAATGGTACTTCTAAGATTTTTGATTAAACCTAAGAATAATTTGTATTCATGGGTATGCGTATGTAAAGAAACGTATATAGTGTTATAGAATCTAAACTAGTCAGGTGAGACGAAATATACAGTTAGGTCTCAACAAACAATTTCCGTAGATCATCAAGACAGGTTCATTCTATGAGATTATTGCCCAACATTTCTCTCAGGTATATCAACTGTGGCTTAGGAAGTTTAAAAACACACAGTCAGCAAAGTTGCAGTAGTAAATAGACCCCTAATATAATTAGCTCTGTAATTCAGCAACATTGATGTTGGTACAAGTAACAGATATTCTGTTAACTCCGAAAACTGTAGGTTACTGGCCATTTCCTGTCACACTTTCGGCCGTCTCAGCCTGTTTCAACTGTAACGCTGGAGGCAACCTTGTGAAGATAGGTCTGACAAGCTTATTTTGTAAATAGTTTTTAATATTATTTGTATTTGTCAATTTCTCACCTCATGTACATTTATCATTAAATGATTGTACCTGTTGTTTTAGTAAACGATCTTGAACACTTTCCGTTGTGATACTACATAGCGTGACATATCGTTGCTGGTTAACAAATACACTGCTTCTCACACATCCCTCGTTTTATTTTCATTCGAGATTGAGTTAACTGAGATCTAAAACAAATATTATTTACATTCATAGACCGTGAGAGCCAATACACCATACCTTACTTTGGATTACACCACTGGGGATTTCATCGATACGTTTGGAATTACCAAGCCACTATAATTGTGGATTTATTGTACCAGATTAAAGCTGAACACGCATCATTTTGGGTGAACTTAAGTAAAGTCTCATTTTTATTGTATTTGTAACATTTAACTTGTATATATTAATATTACTTTTTGCGTTTATATATCGTCTGGTCCACCACAACCTCTTTACTGTGCTTTCTAGATTTCCTAGAGTGTTGAGATCCACCGAGTAATCCATTTTTCCCAAGGCTATAGAACAATTCCCCACCTTGTTGCTAGCCTGGACAGAGTTTCTGCACCGTTTCATTCTATAACAGAACCTTAAATCTTCTAACAAAGCTCAGCTAACTTCGTGTGTCCTTTCAAACAACCGTTCTCGTGCGCTCTTTGATATTCAAACGGAAAGTGAAGCATGATGCATTTCGTTATAGCCTCACGAAATTTCCCTTCACAATAATATGTCAAAACAGATGCCTCCGACCGTCATCTATCTTGAATACCACATACAATTCGATTTACCTGATAAACTCTAGTACTCCGTTTGTTGGCCAATGAAACTACTTGGTCCTACCTAGATCAAGACGCAAACTAAGCAGTGACAAGATCACCAACTTCCTCCTTTTTTCTGAGTGGTCTAACGCTTGATTCTTCTGGTGACAACCTTTCTCTAACGACATAGTGAGAATGTTTATCGAAATAGCAAATATACTCTTGTAGTTTTTCACAATTTCAAGAAGATAATTCACCATTTGTGTAGTCTTTCAACCTCAAGGACCAGAACTCTCTTTGTGAGCAATGATGTTGTTTCCTCTATTATTCGACTTTCTAAATTCTAATCCTTGTCTTTTCCTCAACTATCTTTCTTTCAACTCTGCTAAGGTGATCCAAGAACTAATTTTACCACGTCAGCTAATTAAACCTACATTACATGGAAATACATCATGCGATTTGTCGTACATCTGTATTTCTTTATGGTCCAACACTGAGCTTAAGATGATTTTATTGAGGCGCTTAACCAGGTATTCCAATGTTTGTCAGCAGACCACTGCCAGAGAAGTGCTACTCACTGCCCTATAGCGGGGGGGAGAGGACGAAAAAAGAATATCCGTCGCTTTAACTGAGTTGGTGGATATAAAGGATCCACCAAGGAGAGTTGGAAAACCCTGATTCCAAACCAGTGGTGCACATGGGCTCCAGGATCCTAAGGAAAGAAATGACGTATGAACCAATTTTTGGCCACCGGCTACTGTGTGACTGCATCACCCTACATTGCTCCACTGCTATATGGCCAAAGGTTCCTCTAGATGGGATCAGACACCTATTTCCAAGGATCCCAATAACACTCCCAAGCGGACCAAAGTCTGGCCATGAGTCCAGTCAAACACACCCTTATCGGCAATGGTCCCGCAACATGCTAAGACGAAATTACTTGATAAAAAGTAAGTATTTAATCATAAACACATAACCCAGACAAGGAAGACTGGAGAACACAAATAGTGGTTAAAACAGACCTAGATGAAGTCCAATATACAAGACAGAAAAAATGAATAAAAAATTACTAAATAAAATGCTTAGGAGGGATTTTCAACGTGTTTTTTTTCTTTACAGCTATATACTCATATTTTTCGCACGGTTCACTTGCCTTCTTAAGCATTTCTGCGTTCGACGTCCCCCTACACTTTCTCTTCTTTTTTATAATATGACTGGAAAAGATATAGTATCATAGATAAATTCACATGACTAGATAATTTCTTGTCGCATAGTTTGTACTTCCCCTTCCCGACTACTAAAAATCGGGAGTAATATCCAGACGCTTTTGGACGTAAATAGCCATCAGAAGTGCTTGCTAAGGCTAAGCCGAACGGGTTTAAACCTCTGGCTGTTAACGTCTCAGGATCTCAAGTACTCCGCTGAGGAGCAGAGTGGGCTCAAAAGGTAAGTAAATCACTTAAGCAAACAATTTCGTAGGTCCCTGACATTGATATTGACCTCATTAGTTCCAATGAACATTAGCTGAAGGTTCTCGGTTAGGTATCTGCATCAGACTACGCTTGGGCAAGCCGTGCTGTGCATCACTTACGACGACTAGTCAGTTTATATAAAGTACACTTCGAAGCACAGATCATTATTTGCGTGCCCATTCACTTTTTCATACTGGGCTTTGACTGGTTTTTGTATCTTTGACTAAGAAGAGGATTTACATAGTAGTATTGTCAAATACTGTGTACCTGTGACATTTTATTGTCCATACTCGGTTTAACTTCCCATTTTAAAAAGCCACTGCGCTACGGAGGTTCGGTTTTGTCTCAGCTAAGTGCAAATTATTCACCGATGTACATCTTAAGATACTCGACTTTGAGCTATACTTTACATGAAGGCTACTGATATTACTGGCTAACTAAATTGAAGTAAGTGGAGTGCTGCTTGGGC